CTTTCCTAGGTGAGCGAGATGGGGTGGCTGATGAGAGCCATGCTTATGTCGGAGGAGGAAAGGTAAAAGGAAAACAAAGTGCCCCTGTTTTTAAGAAATGTACAGTATGATCCCATTTATATTAAAAAATTTAAAGAGGATAATTACTTAGAAATAAGTTCTCCCAAAGTTTAAAAACTGAGACCCAGCAAATGACACATATTGCATAATTCAAGCACTATAGCATATTTTGAACATCCGATCATCCTCCACATCAAAATATGATGCCACAAGATTATTAACAAATAACAGTGGATACAAAAAGTCTATCATCTTCTAGCAATATGGTAGACTTAGACGACCTGAAAATCCTCTAACTATAATCACCTAGAAGTACTGGGTAAAATGTAACAATTATTTTAAATGTACAGCTAAGCTCACAAATAATAAAAGCAAATCCCCAGGTGCCAGAAACAAAAAGAGAAGTGAAAAAGCAGAGGGGTGAGTGCTTGAGCTAATGGGGGGGCCAGTATTTGTCTCCAGAACCTCAGGGTTTGGTGTTAATTCCCACACATGGGTAACAAATGAAGCTTTGGGAATTAGGGAATTGGAATTGAGAAGTCTGCATAAAACCAAGACCCTCAACGGACTATTCTATTTATGAAAGGATTTAAAAACAAGAGAGACCACAGGACACGACTTTGGGTTGGAAAGAAAGAAAAGCTCTCCAAGAATTCAAAACCACAGGACCACAATTCACATTGCTTTTACTCTACCCACATAGTTCAGAAGCTCCAGACTAAAAAGTAAGGGAAGAATTATTCCTCAAGCAGTGATACTCCCAAGGCAGAAGCAGAAGCAAACAAAAACCTTCTCTGAAAAGGTGCTCTCACGTCCCCGAAACATGGGATTTTCACAGGAAAAAAACAACACACACACAAGCTCTGCAACTGATGGGTTCACAATAAAAAAACGACAAAGCACAAGAGTGAACAATCTAACCTGGCCAAGAGTCTGCACATACGACATACACCCAATTACCCCCACGGACTCAAAGCACACAGAGAGAACCAGGAGATTATGAAAGAATTTGCATAAAATGACTGAAGATAGAAAGGAAGCAAGCAAATCCTGAGAACTAAACCTATGAGAAAAGAGCAAGTAGAATTGAGAAACAGAGAACAAAAAACTCCCATAATGAATCTTGGAATTAACCTTTTTAAAAAGATGACAAGAACGATAATGAGAAATTCTTTGCTAGAAGACCTTAGAGAAGACTGAAATAACTGCAAAAAATACACGATGTTCACAGATATGAAGACTCAACACAATAAAGATGGCAGTTCTCTCCAGATTAATCTATAAATTTAATGCAGTTGCCATCAAAATCCAACAGGGGTTTGACAAGCTGATCACAAAATGTATACAGAGGACTAAAGGACCAAAGAAATTTTAAACAGTAAAGGTGGGGAAGGGAAAGGAACTCCTAATACCCGATATCACGACAATTATAAGCTGCAGCATGAGGTATTCCTGAGAGGGCAGACCAAAGAGACCAACGGATCATAACGAGGAGCCTAGAAACGGCTTACTGTATGACAGAGGTGGCATTTCACATTAGTGGGAAAGAATGAACTATTCAATAAATGGCACCTCTGCCTCACACCCCAAAATCACTTGCAGTGGAGGAAAGAGCTAAATGCTCTTGAAAAGCATTTTTTACAAAACTTTTGGAGAATATAGTCAATTCTCATTGTTTACAGTAGTTATGTTCTATTTAATCACTTCAACCACTGAAATTGTGCACACTGAACAGTTTGCTCCTAGGGGAAATACAGGATCGGGTCCCCGCCAGCCTCTGGTCACAACATTTGTTATCAGTCAGTCAATAGCATAACCTTGTTTTATGTGCATTTGTTTAAAGACACCTCATTTAAATGAACAAAGCTTAACATGTATTTTCTCCAGGAGGCACCTGACAGCCTTCTTACACTTAGGAACACTAGACAGCACTTCATCACTATCTTTGGGGTCATTTTAAATAGTGGAATCACCAAAAAACACAAAAATGCAAAAATGGCACTAAATACACCGTGAGAAGGACGCTTGTTTATAGAATGAGAGCTGGAACAGGAAGGCAGAGTGTTGCTTTGTTTGACCTCAGCTGGGAACACGTGTGACTAAATTTTCACTACTTTGCACATGGCGACAATATTGATTTGGGGTTAAAAATAAATTTTAGCAAGCAGGTGAATTTGCAAATACAGAATCTGCAAATAATAAGGATCGACTGCATCTTTGTGATATTTCTAAGGTTGAAAGGGTATTTTCCCTTTTAGACAAGATGCAAAAAACAAATTATAAAGGAAAAGCCTGACAAATTAGACAAATTGAAATCTAAAACATCTGCTTGAAAATATAAATCATAAAGAAAGTGAAAACCAAGTCACAAAGTGGCAGATGATATCTGCTCCCCAAATAAAGAACAAAGGATTAGTATCAAGAAATTCAAGTTCCTGGAAATCAACAAGCAAAAGACAAACAGCCATTAGAAAAATGAGCAAACGATAACAAGCATTTTCTTAGAAGAAAATAGACTGGCCAACAAACTAATAAAAAGATGCTCAATCTCACTTCTAATAAAGAAATTTAAGTTAAAAATTAGATATTTCACAACTCTCTATATTTATAAATATACTTTTTAAAACTGAAGTGTGGTTAAGCACAACTCATGGGTCAGGCAGAAGGTTTACAATATCAAATGACAATGTTTCATAAAATCAAAATACATTTTTAGGTAACATTTCCAACAAAGGCATATATTATTTCCAGAGATTAGAAGCCCAAAGGAGAAAATAAGAGCTCCAGAAAGCCACCCTGAGAATAAATAACCAAATGATATTCAGGAAGCAACCAAAAAAGACTCCTCCAGTACAGGCAGAGATTGGACATTTCTTAAAACCACTGTCTGGCTGTTAACAGTGGATTTTATGTGAGGTGATGGGGCAGAAGCTCTGCACACAGGGGCTGTACACATTCAAAGTACTCATCTTTAAGATTCTGTTCTGGAGCCACTCTCAGTACCAAATTCTGTATCAGCCAAGGTTCAACCTGAGGCCGAACCAGTACATATACACACATATATAAAACCAGTAGAAGCGGCTTATACAAACACTAGTTAAACAGGCTCTACAAAGCTTTAGACACCGTACCTGATGCTGGAGCCCAAAGTCCACGGGGCGGGCAGTCAGGAGGGGACGAGCAGGAGCAGGCTCAAGCCCACAAGAACAGACTGAAGCCTGAGTCCATTCTTGCCGTCTCTGGTCTTGGTGATGAGGTCATCCTGCAGAAGCCCGGGCCCGAGATCCCGGAGCCAAATACACACACCTGGCCCAGGACCCGCCTCCTGGAGCCAAACACGCACACCTGGCCCAAGAAATCAGAGCCGCTGACAGAGAATCCCGGGAAACCCAGGACAACTGCAGGCCTGGCTACCGCTTCTGCCAGCAAGGTGAACCGGCCGCTCACGCCGAGCCGCACAATGGCTGTTTCTTCCCTTTGACATCCAAATCTCTCAAGAATCTCCTCTGGGGCCCACCTTAGCCAGAAACATGCCAGAAAGGGAATTCTGAGAACTGTAGTCCAGCCTAGTCAGAGAGACCCACTACAAAGCCATCACATTCCTTAACGGTTGCGTATCTCCTCAGACCCTCCTTTGGCTCTGCAGCTAGCTTTAGTCAATTTTATTTTTCTCTAGGAAATAACCCATGCACCTATTTTTTAAAATTATTGGCATAAAGTTATTTGCAGTATTCTTGTTAACTAGTTTTAGCAATTTCTGGTAGAGCTACAGTTACAACCCTTTTTCACTCATTAATATGGTTATAAAATTTGATATTACATTGTCTCTAATTGCATCCTGATCAGAGAATGTAGTATCTTTGTTATTGATTGCTTGGTATTAGAGATATGGTTTGTGGTCTAATACTTGCTCAATTTTTATAAATGTTCCATGTGTACATGAAAATGTGTATTCTCTAAAATTGCAGAGTACACACACATGCTCAGGTGGATTAACTGGATTGTCCAACCTTCTACACACTAATTTTTTAATTTACATGATCAATTAAAAATCTCCCTCTATCACAGTGTAGCCCAGAGAAGGCACATGTTGGATCTGTGGCATCTTACTGCACTGACGGACAGCGACTGCATTGGGGTATGGGTGGGGACCTGATAATATGGGTAAATATAGTAACCACATTGTTTTTTCATGTGAAACCTTCATAAGAGTGTATATCAATCATACCTTAATAAAAAAAAAGCCTTAAAAAAAACTCCCTCTATCAATTTCTCCTAGTAGTTATGTCAGTTTTTGCATTATAAAATTTAAAGCTCTGTTTTAGGTACATATAAGTTTATAATTATTGTATCTTCCTGGTGAATCATTCCTTTTATCATTCAGTAATGACTTTTTAAATTCCTAATGCTATTCTTTGCCTTGGAGCCTATCTTGTCCCACGTTAATTTTGCTATGGGTTTAATTATGCTCTTTTTTCCCCCTGCCCCCTAGGGGTTTCTTTTACTTTCTTGCTAGCTCAGCTATGCATTTAAGAAAGATATTTGTTATATTTGATACATTATTTCTGTTGTGTGTAGCAAGCAGGGTTGCAGGATATCTAACCTGGCGTATTGACAGATCTTGAAGTTCTCAAACTTAGAAAAAAATGAAATAACTTGCCTTTAAACAGAAATCTCTTGTTTGATAGCAATTGGAATGGCAGAATAAATTGCACAAGTATGCATAACAAAGGCCCCATCTTACCAGTGAAGGTGTCAAACCATATTAATTGTATGGTTCAATCTGAATGTATTCACTTTGTACCTTCAACAGACAAGAAAAAATATGCCTTTTCAAATAATACACTCCCACAACTTCCCCCAAGAATTTGATATGGCCCCCTCCCTGAAGGGTGGTTCCCCCATGAATGAGAATCATTGGTTTATGGTTCCAAAGAAGATTCAGTTTTAAAAAGGAAATTTTATTTCCTTAACAGTTTGGCAATCCTCTTCCTTCCCTCAGGCAGTCACAGATGTTACACTTTCCTCTGGTGTTCTGTGGGTTCCCTTCAATGTTTCCAAATTTACTTGGGTCTCCTGGCCCAAGAGACCAACAGTAGCTCACCTAGTTTCTACCTGGCTCAGTGTGGGTCTGGACACGAGCCAAATCCTATCAGCTGACATTTAACTTACTCTTAACCAATAACAGCTTACTAGGGACTTTTAATACACTATCCCCTGCTCGTGGCATGAATTGAGGTCTACTTTTCTCTACTACTGACTATGGGTTTCAAGGGTCCTGGAAAAGACTGTGTCAGTGATTTGGGCCCAACAATTTGCCAAGAGGGAAAGCCCTATTTCTTGTTAAGTAAGTTTGGTGTCTGACTTGTTTAACTTATCAAATTTATGCACTACATTGAAAGCCTTTAAAAACTCATTAAAATCAATGCTTCCATCTTTGTTTAAGTCCATTCTGTTTGCGAGCTCATCAATTTGAGAATCATCAATATGAATGCTGTAGTGGCTTTTGAAAAGTTTCCACATGGAACGAAATTCTTCCATGGAGATCAGACCTAAAGAACAGAGGAGAAGGCTGTGAGCATTCATTTTAAGAGCCACGTAGGGAGGGAGGGTGGGGAAGCCATGCTGACTGAAGAGTCCCCATTAGAAGCTGACATGCCTGACCATGAAGGCACTGACGGAAATGGAAAAGTCAGGTTATAAATACAAGAAACAGTATGCCATTTTCAACTATCAAGTGATCCTGAGATTATTCTAAAGCTGAAATAAGTAAACAGTGAGGGAGCGGCAGAAGACTGTGGACTGTGGGACTATATGTGCTACAGAAATTACAAGATCTGAAATCTAAGGGAGGTGGACCTGGAAGGAGGACAGAGAGGAGAGCGTCACCAAAGCAGAGGGAGAAGATAACCTGGGGCTCAGTAAGAGGATTGTAAACAATGGCTTTACCATGTATTGTAGGCAACAATTTCCTTTCATATTTTGATTATTGATTTTTTGGTGTTCAGTGTTCTCTGCAGTTGAGAATTATCTGATGATTTTTTAAAGTTTGAAAATAGGTAATTGTGCATCAGAGATAAGCAGAAAATATGTGTTCATAGCCCTCAGTCCCACAAACAGAATCAGAACTCTAGGGATGAGTTTATCTCCATGAGTATCTACAATGTTTAAATGGACAGTGAATTATTATCTGTGCTGGTGATTTATAAAAGGAGCTATTCTTGTCTGACTAGTGGATACATAGGTCTATATAGGACCATATGATCTTCAATACAATGTTTGTGGCCAAAGTAAAACAACAGTAATATTAAACATGAGTTGCCCCTCCCACCCCACCCCCACCCCGAGTTGAAGTAAGTTCGGATGAAGATGGCAACGGATGAAAACAGAATTCTGGTTTCAGAAAGACAGACTACCCTTGGCTTTCTACTGCTACTCAACTAATCAAAGTTCATTTACCTGAGTGATCAGAGTCAATGACATTAAAGATGATTTGCAGGTCCGATCGGTATCTGTACACAGTTTCAATTAGTGTAGACAGAGCCTAAAATAAAGATTTTCTGAGTGTTAAAGCACACCGAATTAATAACAAGGTCAATTCTAGTAACTGTAACAAACACAAAACACCACCACCAATCCCAAGTATGTGATTCAGATAGAAATTTGAGAAGGCAGGCCTTCCTTGGAGGCCCAATCCTCTCTAATCAGATAAAAGGCCCTGTTCTTGCATCCCGAAGCGTCTGCGGGCTATGTTCCTCAAGGCAGGGCGGAAGCAAACAAGGAGGCAGTAAACAACAGGAGCCAACATTTACTGAGAACCTTGTATCCAAGGCTCTGCCCGGAGAGCTTTCTATGCTATATTTCACTTAGTCCTCAACAACAGTCCCAAGGAAAAGAACTGTGACTATGTCTATTTTACAGATTAGGAAACAGGAGCAAAGTAAGTTCCCCAAGGTTCACATAGCTGGTAAATAAGCTTTGAATCTCAGCTGCGTGAAGCCAAGGCCTGTGAGCTTAGTCACCAAGGTGAAATGCCTCTTAAGAGAAGCCAAAGCCTCCTTCCTGTGGCTATTTTAGTCTCTGTGCTTAACTTCTCATCTCCCCTGCAAACATCGCTCTAGTCCTAGTTCCCATCAGTTCACTGTCAGACCAATGTTATAACTCACTGCAGATGAGTTGTTAACTAGTTAAGTACCAGGGGTCAGATAACTCTCCCTGGGGTATTCCCATTTTAATGAGAGATTTTAGATTTTAAAAACCTTTAAGGTATTAGATACTATGTCAGTAAGTCTATACACTCACAGTGTTAACAGAGAATACAATGCGTGCCTTAAAGGGTGCATATATGAAAGAATGGATGCCACAGCTGCCCTTCTGCTGCACAGCACTTCAGAATCACATATTTGACATTAGTTTGCTTGCAGCAGCTTTTTCTTTTTGCCTATACTTAGCACAGATTTCCCAAGCAGATCACAATGTACCTGAGAGTTCCCCACTTAGGCCTCCCCTAAGACTGCCACTCCCATCCATTAGATGATTCCACTCCCAACTTTTCAAAGGACTAGGTTACTCTTATACATGGTCCGAAGGGTGTTTGACTCCAGCTGATTTCAGCTGCGGCTGTTCCACTTGCCTCTTTCACAGGGTTTTTAATGCGGATATCCTGGAAGCTGGACATGTAGTCAATATTTCCATCTTTGTCTCTGGTCACCAGATGAAAACTCAGGGATCTCCACGGTAAGTTCAGATCCAAAACAACCTCCATAGAAGAAGCCCACTGGCCCACAGAAAGTTTTCCTAACAACAACAAAAAGAACAATAAAAAGCCCATAAAACTGGTCGATCATTTGATAAGGAAATGCAACCTCCTCTGTGGGGCCAGTGCGCAGCCTGGGCTTTTGAGGCCTGGCTGCCTCCTGCTCCCCTTTATGATGTGTCCTACCGCGTGGGCCCCACAGCTCTGAGGGAGGAAGAACCACAGAAAGTCTTTGGTATTCCCTACTGTTTGTTAAGTATAAACAATCAGGCTTTGGGGATTATATTTTTCCCCCTTTTTCTGATTAACAAAGTAAGGTATGTTTATATTAGAAGATTTGAAATCAAAAAAGGATATGCAGGGTAAAAGGTTACTTTTACTTTTAACATTTTGGCATATTATTCACCTCTCATTTTCCCAGGTAGGACCCTCTCATCCCCTAATATTATATGTAGTTTTTCAAAATATAAATATCTTCATTTTTTCCTGATTATTAAAGAGAGAGTCATTTGAAATGATTTTGAATAAACCAAAAACAATGCTACTACATCTAGTGTTTTCTCTATGTATATATACGTGTATATATAAATATATATTTTTTATCTTTCTTAAAACCAAATATACATTGTGCTCTACTATATGTTTTACATGCATATATTACATGTGGCAACTCACACACACAACAAACATATTTATTCTAACTTGATTTTTAACTTACAATGAATCATGGACATCCATCTATGTTAATAAACATAGATCTAAATCATTTTAATGGCTATGAATCTATTCCATAATTTCCTTAGGATCATTCCCAGAAGTGAAACTGATGAACCAAAGGGTATGTACATTTTTTTTTTGGTATCATTAATGTACAATTACATGAGCAACATTATGGTTACTAGACTCCCCCCATCATCAAGTCCCCACCACATACCCCATTATAGTCACTGTCTATCAGCGTAGTAAGATGCTATAGAATCACTACTTGTCTTCTCTGTTATACTGCCTTCCCCATGCCCCCCCCCACATTATGTGTGTTAATTATAATGCCCCTTTTTATCCCTTATCCCTCCCTTCCCACCCATCCTCCCAGTCCCTTTCCCTTTGGTAACTGTTAGTCCATTCTTGGGTTCTGAGAGTCTCCTGCTATTTTGTTCCTTCAGTTTTTGCTTTGTTCTTATACTATATAGATGAGTGAAATCATTTGATACTTGTCTTTCTCCGCCTGGCTTATTTCACTGAGCAAAATACCCTCTAGCTCCATCCATGTTGTTGCAAATGATAGGATTTGTTTTCTTCTTATGGCTGAATAATATTCCATTGTGTATATGTACCACCTCTTCTTTATCCATTCATCTACTGATGGACACTTAGGTTGCTTCCATTTCTTGGCTATTGCAAATAGTGCTGCGATAAACATAGGGGTGCATATGCCTTTTTCAAACTGGAGTGCTGCATTCTTAGGGTAAATTCCTAGGAGTGGAATTCCTGGGTCAAATGGTATTTCTATTTTGAGCTTTTTGAGGAACCTCCATACTGCTTTCCACAATGGTTGAACTAGTTTACATTCCCACCAGCAGTGTAGGAGGGTTCCCCTTTCTCCATATCCTCGCCAACATTTGTTGTTGTCTTTTGGATGGTGGCGATCCTTACTGGTATGAGGTGATATCTCATTGTGGTTTTAATTTGCATTTCTCTGATGATTAGCGATGCAGAGCATCTTTTCATGTGCTTGTTGGCCATCCGAATTTCTTCTTTGGAGAAGTGTCTGTTCAGATCCTGTGCCCATTTTTTAATTGGATTATTTGCTTTTTGTTTGTTAAGGTGTGTGAGCTCTTTATATATTTTGGATATCAACCCCTTATCGGATATGTCATTTATGAATATATTCTCCCATACTGTAGGATACCATTTTGTTCTACTGATGTTGTCCTTTGCTATACAGAAGCTTGTTAGTTTGACATAGTCCCACCTGTTCATTTTTGCTTCTGTTTCCCTTGCCCGGGGAGATATGTTCATGAAGAAGTTGCTCATGTTTATGTCCAAGAGATTTTTGCCTATGTTTTTTTCTGAGTTTTATGGTTTCATGACTTACATTCAGATCTTTGATCCATTTTGAGTTTACTTTTGTGTATGGGGTTAGACAATAATCCAGTTTCACTCTCTTACATGTAGCTGTCCAGTTTTGCCA